CAGACGTCCCAGTGGGGGTGGGAGGGTGGCAGGTGGGGATGGGGGTGAGGGTTGGACTGGAAATGGTTTTACGTTAATGGATTCGTCTGTCTGACAATGTCAGAAAATGCTAGAAAATGTTGTCTAGGTGAAATACCGAATTACCAAGAGTAATTCAAACCGGGCAGGACAACCCACCAGTCTGCCGTGGGGGTCTCCATTAAAGGGGCACTCCAGCAATTTAGTTTTGCACTTCCATAAAGTCGCCACACTCCGAAAACACCGGATCTTACACTTCCCGTGATGCAACCAATAGCACAATTTCCTGCTTGCCAACTGTACATTCATCAAAGAGCTCAGCTAGTGTAACAGAAGCTGTATGTTTGTTATTGGAAACGAATCCTATGAGAAAGAACAAAATACAACAATGTGTTTCTCCATCTCCAAATAATTTTGAGCTCTGACTGCAATACTGGAAACTTAAAAAAGAGGTTACAAACATTTAATTAGCTTTTAAAAGTGGTGCGGTAATTTCCTTAAACAGCTGGGCAGTGTAGCTTTTATCAAATGTTACTCAAACGGGAGAAAATAATGCATATGTTGGGAACTATTTTAAGCTGCGGATTCACACACATTTTGGTCCTCAAATGAGTGTGATCGATTCAAAATGAAATGCAGTGTGTGTGTGTGTGTGTGTGTGTGTGTGTGTGTGTTTGTGGTAACGAAGGGACACTCAGTGCAACAGCGTGGCTCACTGATGCATTTCTCATAGCTTTTGGACAACAATGGAACTCAATGGCACAGAGGAATACGAGCTCTGGATACATGCACAATAATTGTTAGTTGGATAAAGTCATCATTAGTTTTGGTCTCGTCATAAGAAAAGTGTAGTATATTATCAGCCTCATCTGTAAGCAGTTTTGTTTGGCTGATACACGCCCTGATGACATCATCAGGGACTTCAGAGTCACAGAAGACATTATACAGCTGTTTCCACATGCTGAGCACAATAGTTGGAGTAGTATTTCCCATTGTGAGTAAACGAACCCTTTTTGTGTGAAATCGATGGCATTCCCCTTTAAATATTTTTCAAAATTTTAATTAAGTGATTTCTTTTGTCTTAACTAATCAATAAATTATTTCAGCACCACCATCTTTAAAAATATTCTTTCATATCATATTTCCCACCTAAAGTAGTATATTAAGTAACATTTTAGGGGAAATGAGTTACATGAAAAGAGATTCATAATTCCCTCAAATGATTCATAAAGAGGTCTTAATTTATGTCGTGCCGTGCACAGTTTGTGTGCCACTGCCATTAAGTGCCATTAAATGCAACATTAAACTGTCGGATGTTTGAAAGGAGCGTGGCAGGATGTGTTCCCACCGCACAGGCATGAATAGACAAAGTGCATCAGCGCTCAAGCTGTGATTAATGATCATTAATCACCATTCAAATCAACAGTAAAATTAAAACGAGCATAAATAGCTTTTTTTTTAATCCCTGAGGTTAAATCCAGCTCCGCGAAATGTGCAGATCAGAGGCAGATCAGAGGCGAACTTTGTGAATAGCAGCATCTTGTGTCTGGGCTTGCGTTCGCACCCGGCGGCCATGTGGGAGCAGGCGTCTCCGACTCTGGTTTACGGAGCCCCGAGGAGACGATAGGCGTAGGAAAAGGAGAAAGAGAAGAGAGAGAGCGGTGGGACGAGGGAATGACTCACTGATATCATTGCACCCAGGTGTCACTGAGTCAACAGAGTCACACGGTGGCCTGAATGAAGACGCAGCCCTGGTGGAAATGGATGGAGAGAAGTTAGCATTTAATAGAGGAGCCCCTCTTGTATTCTTTCTTTCATTCCTTTCTTTCCTCCCATCATATCTATTGCACCACCTTGGAAAGACTGCCGTGCAATGTCTCACTGATGCACTCATAAACCGTACTAATGTAACTAACATGTCAGATATATACATCTGTTGGAAACTTTCACAGCCGCCTGAGTGTAAACATTTCTGGACCGAGCGCTGATCAAACACGAGATTGAGCGCCCGGAGCTACGTGGGAGTACACAGTCCTGGCTGTGTCTCCTTATACACTCTTGAGTGGCTAGTGGGCACACTGTCTTTGGTAGTGTGTCGGGGGTGTGCTGAGAAATGTGCGGAGATGGGTCTCATAGAAGCTCCGGGCCCGTTTACAGTAAACTGCTGAGTGGCTTACATCTGTGTTCCTTTATGTCTGCGGCTCACCGGGGGATCGGAGGGTTCACTTGTGCAATCAAAGGTCACACATGCACAAACACACACACACACACACACACACACCTGATCCCATGTGATGGATATAGTGTATCTTTGGGGGCAGACGAAGGCACATAATGTATGAATGCAAAAACATACGTGCTGTTACATTTTCTCCCCAAGAGGGTAAAAGGCACTGCATAACATTAGTGTCTAGGTTTGTCTCAATATAAATATGTTGACTGTTACAGATTTTGCTCTACCGTTTATACCAACGTACAACCCCTTCGATATTTTCGGTTATATTAGACCATTGTAGGAAATATATTAAAGTCTTTACAGGTTGTTGTATCTTTCAGGTATTTCATTAGCGTGATTAGCACCAAACATACTCTCCTATCTAGTTATTTCATCTAGAAAAATTCTAAAATGATCGTCAAAGTTCTTTCTTGACCTCGGAAGCGGTTGTTTGACGAAAAATGTGATTAGACAGAAAGAGAGTACAGCCATGCTCGCAGCTCTGTGAGGCCGTACGTAGGCAAAGCACTGCTTTGAGCTAAGTGCTAATGTTAGCACGCTAACATGCTCGCAATAGCATTGCTAACACGCAGATGGTCAACGCGTATGTTCAAAATCTCAGTGTAGCATGTGAGCGTGCTAACATTTGCTAATTAGCGCAATGTAGGCTACAGCTGAGGCTGTAGGGAACGCCATTAGTTTTGTAGGTATTAGATCATAAAGCAAAGTATCGGACAAATTAAAATGTTGACCTGATGATGGCGCTAGTGGAAAAGTAACGGGATCACCAAAGTTATAACAATTCCCAAAGGGGAACGATAATGATTATAAATGTCGTGGCAATATATCCAATAGTTGTCGAGACATTACGATAAAGATCAAAAATGTTTTAGCCACGCTGCTAGCATTGGCAAAATTGTTTCAATTTTATTTTCAGATAATAAACTATATCAGGATAAACATTAATATTACACATACAACTGGTTTGTATTTTATTGAGGGGTAGGCATGATAAAAACATCTATCAGGGTGTATGTAAAAAACACATCAGAATGTCAATATATATATTTAAATATATATAAAGTACATTTTCTGGAAAAATCAATTTTCTATTGCATAATTGTTAATGGATATGATGACAAGCTAAGAATGTCTGTTTTGGTCTAACCCAGTGAATAAATGCCTTCAACACATTAATGCAAAAATCACGTAAAAATCCAATATTTACATAAAGCGGTCCTGCTCATTTATCAGTGCAACACAGCACCGTATTTAAAGGGATAGACACCACACGCTGCCCGTGTCTCAGTGAATTTAGTACAAATCTAGGTCTTTATGTTGTTCTTTCACCATATTTCAAAGTCAGACTTGTCACATGGTGTTTGCGAATCATCCTTATCCTTTGCCTCAGCCTGCACGGAGCACCAGATGGTTTGCATTCATAACTGATTCACCACATAAGGGAATTCAGATAGTGTCAGGTAAGCTGTCGGTCACACTTAAGCTACTCAAATGACTCTGACTGTCAAAACACTGAATCATCTCATGTGACGATTTCCAACCTGCTGGCACTCGAAGAAGTTCAAAAGGATGATTTAAAATTCCTGCATGTGCCGAGCTGTGAAACACTCTAATCATTTGGAAGTAAGAGGATGAGCAGCTCGTACATTTTTGACTCGCATCCACTTGACCCACTCCAGTGGAGCGCAGTCATCTCCAGTACAAGCACGGGCGTGAAGATTTGTACGCCGTTTTCATCATCTACTCCGATAAAATATAAAGTCGGTATATCCTGAATTCATTACACGGGCAACAAAAGATGACACACTCCGCCTGGCTGTTCTACTGCTGTTTGGAGAATCCTGAGCTCCTTTGCATAACCATTCCCCTCAATGCGTTTGTGTGAGAAAGACTTGTTTCTGGGGTTGATCGTCTTGGACTGTTTAGTGTGTGTTTGGCAGAGAATGGGACTCGCTGAAGGCATCGGAATGAAAGGCTGTCATTCCAGTGCTTTGTCGCCCTGTTACAACCGTCTCTGGCAAAGTGGGATCCAATTTGCTTTGATTTCAGGGATGTGGGCAATAAAGTTTCCCAGACAACAGAGAGAGAGAGATTGATTCACTTGGTCCTATTTGGTCTGGTTGAGTCATATCGAATTACTGGAGATCCATTGATCGCCCTCGTCTTCAAGCTAGCAGGCAGACAAGCATCCAGATTTGTGCCATTAGAAGAAGAAGTCGGAAGGGTCGTGAATATTCATATGTGTGTGCAAGTCGGACACTCTGTCAAGAGGGTTTATCTTCGGCGAGGACAAGAGGGCACTTGATCCGACGCACAAAGGGCAATGTGTGAATCAGCCGTTTGCGCCGCACAAATATGGGACATGGCAGTGTGTCTGGTTTTCGGTGTCCTGTGACGATGCCTTGTGCAAAAGGACAGAAAGTAATCCGTTAGCATTTCTGTCAGCTCTCGCATGAAGATCATCCTCTTCACAGTCTTTCCTCTTCATAGCGCAATTCCAAAGTGCTGTTCTTCAGGCGTATCCTTCCTGTCATAATATTCCACATCATTCCCATAAAACAGCCAAGGAGATAGCTGAGCACATGAGTAAACGTCTGTCTGTGTTCAGAGCTCCTTTTTCACATGCTTTAATAATTCATGAGCAGTAATTTTCAGATGTTGAGAAACGGAAATGAATCACGTCTGCTCACCTATCTGTCCTCCCCTGACCCCGAATGGTAACTATTCCTGTCCCGTCCTCTTCCAGGAGGACTACGACCGCCTGAGGCCGCTGTCCTACCCGATGACCGATGTCTTCCTTATCTGCTTCTCGGTGGTAAACCCTGCCAGTTTCCAGAACGTGCGTGAGGAATGGGTGCCTGAGTTGCAGGAGTATGCACCCAGTGTCCCCTACTTGCTCATTGGCACCCAGGTGAGTTCGGAATACACCATTACTTCACGCTCAGCCTCAAATTACTGCTTATGTGTGATTTTGTACTCGTATATTTTCTTGGATACAATATCACATCTCTACCTACCCTGTATCAAAATGATATGACAAACTGTCAAGTTTTAGGACTTTGGCTTTTTGCTGTTGTTACTGTTGAGGATCAGACAAGCTCACTGTCAGCTACAATGTGAATTTAACCTCAAGAGGCCCCTGAGGCCCTCAGAGCAATTTATGAAATTCAGAGACAAATATGCACCATGGTTGTGTTGCCATGGGCATGTTTCCAAATCCTGAAGGAGGTTTGCATAATGCACAGAAGACATGGAGAATCACAAAACCTCACAAGAGAAGTTAGATCTTCTAATTGTTTTTACATTTTTTCAAGCAAAAATGCCAAACTACTGCTGTTACTAGCTTTTCAAATGGGAGGATGTGGTGCTTTTCTTCGTCATGTATTGTTGGGTTTTGGACTGTTGGGCAGACAAAACAAGACATTTAAAAATGTCACCTTGTAATGTAATTGGCCTTTCTCACTGTTTTCACAAAATACAGAGACAGATTGAGCCAACAATCACACCACCATACATTACACATTACAATTACACATAATTACAATGTTGTAGTGTTACAATTTAAACCTGAGCCATGGCAAAGAAGAGTTAGTTTATTCAGGCAAGCCAGTAGAGACCTGGCTGGGGTCCTCAGGCTGAGCTGGCTCATACAGGTTTGAAAGGTATGTGGCTTGGTACAAGACATTGCCTCAAAGGTAATCATTAAATCACAAATGTTTAAACCAGCAATTTAATTATGCAAAGCTACAAAAGCAGGGCTTATGTCTTGTGATCTTCAATCAAAGCATCACTCAACTCATGAACATGTTAAGAGAGGACACCAATCCTAAAAAATGTATTATTTCTTAAGCCTTAAAACCCACTGCCAATACCATATGTCCAAAAAATGAGCGCTCACTTGTGGGTGGTTTTTGGTCTCTGTTCCCTGGCAACCAAATGCCAGTGCAGCCAAGGCCCAGCGGTGGTGAGGAGGATGGAGTGGGTGTCTGATTTATTGTGTGTCAGCTGATGTTTACTGCCCTTTTATCAGTTCCCGTAACTAGCTCGCTGCTTTTCGGCTGGATGCTGATATGTACGCACGAACAGTGAGCCACGCTGCCACAAATCACACCAGTAGAGAAAAGGGTTGATGAAGGTTGCTCGCAGTGAGATTGTGTAGGTGGATGCATTTATCATTAGCTGGTTATTACTGAGATAGGGATGAGTTGTGTGTGCTGAGCATTGCAATAAATAAAAGAAGAGTGAGGAACCTTGTGGTTTGCTGTGAAATCGCCTTTGCACAAGAGCAGGAAGTGTGGGCCAACATGGCTTTGTTTCAAAATGAAAAAACACAGTTATACAGTTCAGCTCTCGTGGCTATGCTTAGTGTGGAGAAAAGTGCTGTAATGCCTGATTTGATGTTGTGAAATCAGGCGTCGATGAGAAACTATTAACAAAGTATTCAACTGATATCCATATTATAAACAGACAGCATCCTCGGGTTATGAAAAGTAAAGCCAATGCGGAAGAGCAGAAAACTTGCATTCTTTCCAAAGGCCAGCAGGGGGTGACTCCTCTGGTTGCAAATAAAAGTCAGATTGTAGAAATTAATGAGAAAATGACAATACTTCTAGTTTCTGGTCCTCTTCAATACAGCATGACACTATTTAGTATTATGGTCCCATTGAGAGGAAAATGGACAATAAAGCAGGCTTTGCTTCAGGGCAGGGCTATCTTGTTATTTACAGGTATTTTCGTTTTCAGTTCATTAAAAGATAATTGTAACGTTTTGGTCGCCTTAAAATGTCTTATTCAGCATTCGGTTGTATTTAGTTCCACCCTCTTGTGTCACTTCTGGTTGCCAAAAAACAAGATGGCGACCGGCAAAATGCTGAACTCAAGGCTTCAAAACGGCAGTCTACAAACAAATGGGGGACGTCATGGTGACTACGTCCACTTCTTATGTCTAAGAAATATCCCGTTATCTCTTTCAGATTGACCTTCGTGATGACCCCAAGACCATTGCCAAACTGAATGACATGAAGGAGAAGCCCATACCCACTGAGCAAGGACAGAAACTAGCGAAAGAGGTTTGTATGTTTGTCCTATACCGAAAAAGACAAGTAATAAGTAGGTGGCAAAAGAGACTAGAATCTTACATTTTCACTTTCAGTGCTGTAGGAGTCAGCTGTCAGGTCCAGTTAGGTTCCTGTGTGATGATTTGACCCATGAATGTCTCTGTAAGAATGCTATTTCCTCAGTGAAATGCCTGTAATCAGACCTCATGTGCCTCGAAGTGAATCGAGGAATACATTCTGGGTCAACGTGAACGTCCAGAGGAGAGCCAAGCTGTAGGACGTAGACACCAAATGTGGTCTGTGATGAATCGCTCCCGTCAGGCAGAAACAGAGAATGAAAGTCAAACGTTCAAAAATGACAATCTAGACTCATATAAAGTCGATATTTTTGGCAACATAAAATGGGATTGCAGCATTTGACCTTTGACATTACCATTACCTACTACTCTATGTTGTAGTTGTAGATGACCTATTCAAATCCATGTCAAGACTAGAAATGCTTCAGAAACAATTCTCCAAATGGATAGAACCGTTTTTTTACATTTCTTAGATTCGACAGATCATGAATAGTGACTATCCCCAGTTTTAGCCTCTCGTGTAAAAAGCATCAACTTTTATGAAACATGAATTCCTGGTAATCTTTAAAAAAGGTTGTTTCTGAACAAGGTTGTCTAACAACACTTACTGATGGTATTTTCAGACCGCTCAAACACAGTTCCAACAATTTGGATAAAAGAATAGATTTGCTGCAGAATAAAAATGATTTTTGTAAGGGATAGCTCGAGCCAGTTAGCTTAACTTAGCGTAGCATAAAGGCTCGTAAACAGGGGAAACAACTATCCTGGCAAAGTCATTGCTCCTGGCCAAGAAATAGTCCCCCTGTTTCCACTCTTTATGCAGGGAGACTGATAATTATTGTTGTATTAGGAGTTTATCCATTCACTCTAGACTTGAGCCATAATGGAACATATCAATACAGAAATGCTACACGGTTGTGACAAACATGAGATCGTGTAAAATTGCCATCACGCTGATGTATGCATGTCTGAGAGGGGCTTTAGGCATACATAATGTCATTTATTTTTAGGTACAACATTAACAACGGCTAGGCTGCTAAATAGAATACAAATTAATACATATATACACGTATATCATTTGTTTAATTCGTGTCAAGTGTAACAATGTTTGTTCCCTATTTTACAGGGGGTTATGTGAAATAGTCTGGTTTATATAACCCCAACAAATCAATGTTTTTACACTTAAACAAACAAGATATGACACGTTAATGAGTGGGCTTCACAGGTGCTGTTAGAAGGATTCTGTTAACTACAGAACCAGGCTAGCTGTTTCCCCCTATTTCCAGTCTTTATGCTAAGCTAAGCTAACCAGCTGCCAGCTTTAGCTTCCTATTTACTGTACAAAGATGAGATGTTGTCATACAACTCTGGGCAGGAAAGACAATGTGTACTTTTACATTTACCTATAATAACTACTGGTTGACCAGGTTATTGTACTGGAATTTCTGGACTGATGGTCCGTCCTTTCTTTTCTACTCATCAGATCGGCGCATGTTGCTATGTGGAATGTTCAGCTTTGACGCAGAAGGGCCTGAAGACGGTGTTTGACGAGGCCATCATCGCAATCCTGACTCCCAAGAAAAAGAAGGGAGCTCTGAAGAGAAGACTGGGACCTCGCTGCATCAACTGCTGTCTGATCACGTGATACATAAACCCGGAGATCATTCGGCAACCAACCATAAACCAAACCTTGACTGGAGGCAAAAGACAGACAAGAAAAAAAATGCACAGACAGCGGAGTGAGACTAAAGACTGAAAAGGACAAAACAAGAGCTACTTTTAAGCTGCAAGGCTCTTAAAAGGCCATAACTCTCTTCTGCTGTCCAACACAGGTTGAGGATGCAGTTTACAACCAAAGGAGCACAAAACCCAAGTCAGTCTCTTCTTCTAAAAGACTTTTTGCCTCTAAAGTACCTTCTTTTATAACCATTTTTAATCATTTTATTTTCCTGTACAAAATTGATGTAAGCTGTCATGCAGAAAAAAACCACAAAATGACATTTCAGTTTTAAGAAAACTGCTACATTTTTAGTTCATATTATGTGTTTTGGTTTTGAGAGCTAGATTATTGATTTGTGCATTTGTCTATATAAGAGCAGATCGGAGAAAGTCTGCAGCTGATAAATAATGAGAGGCTTACTTAAGTGACACTGTGACAATAGCCAGGACACATTTCTGGCCATAGAGCGCTGCAGGGATAACGTATTTTTGTTAGCTAACAAAAAGCTAACGGGATTCTTCCATTGGACTTTGGATTATTGCAAAAGATAAACTCTGTGGCAAACAAAAGTTTATAACAAAGCTAAAGGCAGACAGGTGGTTGACTTGAAGTCTCATTCAGCCACTTGTTAGCGACCGGCTTTTATAAGAAACGTAAACGCTTTAGTGGGATATTTACTGATGTATTGTAGATCGTAGAACAAAACGTTAACCACAGACCTTATTCCAAGGATCTAACCAAAGACCCATTCAAAAAAACCATTGACTTCGAGACAGGGGAAACGGAAGTACGAAAATGCCGACTCATTACCGGGTTTTAGGACTCATTCCTGCAGCGCTCTATAAGGGCCCAGTTCCCCCCGCAATTATAAGATTTGTGCTACCGAGAGTCTGTCGGCCCACAAAGTCTGTTTCCAGTTATTTGCCAATTGAGGACTTGCAAATGAAACCACACAAGGCTTATTGCATTGTGTGGGGGATAACACAAGTCGACAGTGAGTGTAATGCTGTTCAGAGAACACATTTCGGACCTAGAACTGTATGATTTTAAAGTTTTAGAGTCTTGTTTTTGCCTTATGAAAACCCTAATTTATAGTGTGGCATGCAAAAACATGCTGTAAGTTAGGGGCTGAGGTCTTCATCAGGAAGAGGTCTATTATCCATTTTCAAAATATTAATTATCCAGAGTATATCATTCTATATCTCTAAATCTAGTATGTGCAAATATTATTTTGTCAGCCGATTACTTTTTTTGTTTTAATTGTTGCTACCCTGCAATAATGCGTTATCCTTTTATCACCTTCAAGAAGGTTTAGAAGTAGAGGACTCTCATTTTAGAAATGAAACTCCGATTCAAATTCAACGTCCGAAGAATCAAATGAACATTTTCATCAAAATCCGATGGTGACCCAATACTGTAATGCACAACATGAAGCACAGTCGGCGCCGCGCCATTTACCGACACAACAAAGCACATTCCTCTGCTTTTAAACACAGTCCCTCTCCCAGAAAAGTCTGATTGAAGCACAGAAGATACACACTGTTCCATCAGGCACAAGTATTAGCACAGCACACTATCTTACCACGCACAATCATGGTCTCCAAAACACTTACAGGTATCAGCTTTTCAGGAAATACAGAAAAGAAACGGATTCAAACAGTTTTGAAAGGGTACAAGAAGGGGTTGCAGCAGCTGTTCGTACGTACAAACTTTACCTAGTTTTAATGAAAGTGATTTACACATCACCTAATCAATACAGGGGCACCACACAAACTAGTTCTTACTTTGAGATAAGTTCCTAATAACCATTTACACCCAGTAACTGTCAGGCGTAGCCGTTGCGTAACGTTAGCTTGCAAAGATGTTACCACTTTCGAAAGACGAGTAAAAGAGGTAAAAATGGAGCATGGTCGAAACAACTAACCTGCCACTTTCAAACTGTTCAATAATTATATTAAGTGTCCATTAAAAAGTCTATTTGACCATAACAACCCAATATACCTTGAATTACAACACATTATGCCAACAACGTTAGACCAAATTACTAGCTAACGTGAAATAACTTTGGCTAGGTTAGCATAATCTGATGTTTCCCATTCATTCTGGATTATATGAATACTACTAATTCTGATGTTTCTCTCTCTTTTGGCATCAATGAATAAAACAAAGTCATAGCTACATTTACAGACAATCAGCACGTAGGTTTGATTATCACTATGCCACCTAAAACTATTATGTTTTGGCAGTTATTTTACAGCTGATACTACAATGACTTTGCAAATTCCCCCCCACCCGTGGATAATGAAAACAAAGTATCTATCGACTTGTCCGTCTAAGATATTTCGTAAGTTTTAATGATGCAACCTAATCATGAATTTCAAACTAGCTTTACTGAGAACGTTTAAAGGACTTTATACACAAACGGAAGAGATGGATATACGAATAACTGGTGCAACGCTGTCTGTTGAAGTCCATCCTTCAAATAATAATTACCAAATACAAAGTTATCAGTTATAGGGTAGATAGATAGTTGAAACAGAATTCATTGATCCTTGTCATAAGCTCACAATCTACACCATTTCAAATATAAATTGAGGTAATATCTGAAGTGAAACAGGATTTAGAGAACAGCTTAAATATCCACGAGCTCCCAAATAACTGTATGCAACAAAGGTTTCAAGCCTACATGTCTATAATAATTGAGGTTGTGACCGAACTTTTCTTGCAAGCTCTTCATATTATTATGCATTAGTTTTGGGCTTTTTCTAACTTTTTTTTTGTTTGTTGAAAAAGATATTAATCAAAGGTGCCAACTCTTGCTAAATGACTTGCATTAATTTTGTGTTATGAGTCAGATTATGCTGATTGATTAAAGCTTTAATGTAAATGGTGCTCCTCCTCTCTATCCCCGCCTGCGTTGTTACAACTGTCTTTTTGAGCAGCAGAGTGTACTGCGGGGGTGAACAGCCTTCTCACTCGGACAGTGTTCGCTTGCTTACGTTGTGTGAAGGTCCCCCCCCCCTCAGGATCCAGGACCTAAGTGCCGCAGCCACCAATGCATTCTCCCGTTGATGCTTCTCTCTTCTAAATAAATGTGTTTGCTGTGTTAACAAGCCGGCTTTGAAAGGTTTAACTTGGATGGCATCAAATGTGCTGTGTGGAACGCATTTGTGAGATTAACTTCTGCAGTGTTTATTCCTGGAACTAAGTGCATTCATACTCATGGGTCAGACATCAGTGGGTGGACTTGATAAGCAGGTCAACTCTGAGGTGAATGAACACACACAAATGCTTTATGTTCATCTATGTATGCTTTGTTCAGAAAGGTTCGTGTTTCTTGTCAACCTCTTGAAGTTGGTGACGTTTCATCAGTTTACTCTTGATGCCACTGCTCAGTCTATAAAAGGGTGAGTTGTGTTGATCTCTGCAGCGCGAGCGCCACTTGCTGGCTACTTTTAGAATGTCCGTCACATTTCTGATTTTTACTCAGATATTACAGGGCACTTTCATGTGCACTTTGCTCAAGGTTAGTTATGACTCCATACCGGAGAAGTAAAAGAATAACACAAGACATATTCAATTATCTAACTTGCATTAGGGATGGAAAATGCCATGAAATCTGGTTTTGATCCAATCGCAAGTAATACCAGGGCGAGAATTACCCATACCAATACTTTTATTACTACAGGCAGTTAATGTACAATTGTGTATAGAGGAGCTGCGTGGCTTAATTCATAAGGTCAAAAAAAATCATTAATAAGCAGCTTCTAAATTTTCAGTACCACTGAACAATTTTGACAAACATTAAGTTGTTTTTATTTTACTATTCGTATGAATGTTACGTAATTAGATGCATGTTAAAATACATGATTATGTTGTTGTAAAATGTATACGAGAAGACAATAAGAAAGCAAATTCTGGAAGAAAAATGTATTTGAATCAAGAAAACCAAAGAAAGGTAAAATAAATAAATAATAAAAAAGGTATCCACTAAAGTAAGACCACAACCATCCCCAAAAGGAGACACAAAACAAAACTGGCATACACAGAGTGGACATTACCGTCTGTTGAACTGCCTGACGGAGTACGCATTCAGTAAAGAAATGAGTGGAAGAAAGCTGAATGCTAAAAAAAGTTGTTTGTTTATTTGGATCACATTCTGATGTTGTACAAGCAGGAAGATGTGTCCTCCCACGCAACCCATGATTCTAGGCATGAAGAGCTAAGAACGCCCCGTGCATTTGGAACCTGTTTTCTTGCTTATTTGACATAGAAAGCTGATGGATGAGGCATCGGATCCCACATTTCCTGTTGAACTGAATCCAATTTTGGAATGCTTTGACTTACAGAGGATAAACAATGTGAGTTACTTGTTCATGTCATGTAAGTGCTGGAATAGTGTAAGACGTCCAATGCAAAATGTAAACGATATTGTTCAGTTACTGTGGCCAGCCCTTGTAATGGTAATTTTTTTACGTAGTATATATTTCTACTCAGTATATTGTATTCATGCATAAGTAATTTTGCTCTGAACTTTGTTGAACTTCACCGTGTCTCTGTTGTGGAAAAGAAGAGTTCTCTCTTGCCTACATAGATAACTAACTGTGTTGTATGAGAATGTTCCAGGCCAAGGCCTTTGGGCCGCTTGTTTTGGTTGCTGGCCGTTTGTTTTTCATTGTTGTTCCTATCAGTCTGAGACCGAAATGTCTGTAACATTGGCCATCGACCCCCACCTTTGCTCATTCTGTATAAAGAAAGCTTGTTCACTTTTTTCTTGGTTCTTCCTCACGGAGACTGTACGCATTCTGTTGTGATGCTTGAACCTTCTCTGCACAGAGAATAAATATTTAAAGACAACCTGGTTTTCGGTATTCCTTATTTCAGCATTAAAAGACTATAGGAAGGTATAGGAATATTTTCCACTACACCCTACTGTAAGTACACTTACTGGATCTCTTCACATATGGCAGAGCCACTATCAGAACAGTATCGGGATATCATCAAAGTAGGGGGGCAGCAATGTGTTTCCTAAAGTGAAATAAAAGGGACAGTGTGTAGGCTTTGATGGCATCTAGCGGTGTAGTTGCAGATTGCAACCATAGGCTGTATATAAGAAGTGGACGTCACCCATTAGTTTGTAGGCTGCCGTTTTAAAGCCTTGAGTTTAGCGATTTCGCTGCCGCCATCTTGGATTACGGTTATTGCCATGTTGTTTTTTTGCAACCGATAAACGGAAGTTACCATATTTGGAATGTGGAGGAATGACGTAGAGATGACGTATACGGCTCTGATAGCGGCAGCGACCTGTCAATCACAGTAAGCCCCGCCCTAAAGCATACTCTGCTTAATGGTCTATTTGACTCTAAATGGACCATAATTTACTAAATGAACATCATGCTGTATTGAAGAATACTTTAAACTGGAGATTGAGACCATAAACTCATGTTTACAATGTTTACTGAGGTAAGAAATCAAATGAGAAGTAGAGTCATTTTCTCACAGACTTCCACACAATCAGACTTCTTTTTGCAACCAGAGGAGTCGCCCCCTGCTGGTCAGTAGAGAGAATGCAAGTTTTAAGACACTTTCGCATTGGCTTCATATGGCAGAATCGGAAGCGGCAACCTCTGGTGCTGAGAATGGAGCCAACACGGAAGTGCCAAAACTTGCAATTCCTCGAAATGACCTCTTGAGATGGGCTCCAAAAGCAAGTCAATCCCCATTGACCTCTATATTAAAATGGTCAACTTTAAAGCAGGAATAAACACATTTACAGCCTTAAACTAAAACTGTTTTTGGATCTCTATAGCTAATATCCCCGTTCATGACATCTACATGGGGGTGGATTTTTAGATAACTCACCTGTTACCAGATTATATTGAGTCTTAAAGTTAAGCATAATTTAAGGGCATGGCCAATTAGAGTGACACGTGGGTGCCGCCTCAGGTTGCCAGCTACTGTCCCCTCTGCTGCTTCACCCGACCCGCTTCAGGTCCTCCAACGATCCAACTCTTTGCCCATTTTTAGGGTCAGTCTGTGTCGTCAGTGCCAAAATGGTGATGGCCGGAGCTGCCCACAACAGCTCTTCGGAAATCTATAGGTGACGTCACGAAGACTACGTCCATATTTTATACACTCTATGATTGCAAACAACTGAATAAGTTGGGTTCTGAGTTCCGGGTGATTATACACTAATGAACACATAAATCCTACACACTGGACCTTTAAATGTGTTGAGTGATATGCTTTTTAATGTGTATTTGAGTTAGGAAGTACACACCACTTATCCTGTTACAGCATGTGTGTGTCAGTGCGTCGTGCTGAACACATTATAACCAGGCCATACATACTGTAAATGGATACATTTGTTCCTGAAATGCTGGACTGTAAATGTACTCCACATTCATCGTCATAACAAGTGTCACATTTTCAGAGCTCCACACAGATTTGAAGTATCAGCTTACTCTCACATTGACAATCATATTCAGACAAATCAACATTAGTGTCCAGTGAAGACAGCCGGGTGTTTCTGATCATCGCTCCACTGATCAATATGCTGCCGGTCACGCTCTCCGCTCAGACTTTCTACAAACTGTTGTTGTTGTGTTGATTGATTTCTCCTCCGCAACCCCGGCGTCTTCTGTTCTCATTTCCTATTACCATATAAGGCGATAGCATCTCTTGCCTTTTGTATATCTCTCAGTTATATGTGTGTCTGTCGGGTTCTGGAGCTCTGCTGGGTTTATTGTGTTCTATATTTTTCACCGATTCTTAGATATAATGGGGAGCACCCTGTGACGCTGTCCTTAGCAAAGTGTAAATCACACATATGTACAATATAAACAAAAAAAACATGCAAGAAACCATGATTTAAGGCCTTTTGCTCTCTTTTTAAAAGGAAACTATTTGAAATGAATTAATGCAGGTGTGGTTTTGAAGTGACGTTCACAGAATTGGTGTAAATGTCTCTTTGGCGTACAACACGTGTGGCATGGTGGCCCGCAGTGGTGACTTCTGCGTTCATGCCCGTATGTTTGTCATTTTACTTTTTATAGTTGCCAGTATGACATTTTGCTTGCATTTACAAATGTAGATGAACGTTATACTTAATCTGAGCTGAGCAAAAAGTGAATGTGTCAGCTCAACGAGTATGTTTATCGGACGGTGTTAGCACTCATTACACTGGAAGATGTGAAGTGAAACAGTGGCAGTGGCTTTAAAGTAGAGCAGATACACGCTGACACACTACACATGTAGCCTGGTGTGTGTATGTTTACCTGGTGTAACGTCACTTTAACTGCTTCACTGAGCGTGTCTTGGGCTTTTTCCAGCCGTCACCCTCGGGGAATAAAAACAAAAAAACAGCGCATCAAATTAAGATTATGCATGACATATAATGAATCCATTCCTGTGATGTATTGCAGAGCCCTGATGTAGCTCAGATTATGTATGAAAGTTTGGGAAAATATCAATGTTAGCAGAAAATTGGTATTTATGTGATGATTATGTTGGCAAATGAGTCACAAGTGTTTGCTGATTTATTTTAACTACCGGAAGCAAACTGTCAGTATTTGTTTTAATTACATTTTTAAGGGAAATATCTTTTCATCAAAGGGAAAGTTGCCTTATTGGGAATTGCATTTTGATAAAAAGAAGCAATGAACCTCCAGCGTTCAAATGCACCTTCATTTGTTTGTATTTAAGAGATTTCTCCTCATTCATTATGCGACCTCTTGAATTCAATGATGACATTTTCTCAATTTATGTTTTCCTCATATTTCTCCTGGATTTCCTCATCTTTACCAAAGATTATATTCCTGCTGTATTTTCAGTGTCAAACTATGTTTTGTAGTTGCTGTAATCTGGACTTTATCACATCAACTGGCC